TAAAACACAGTGTAGATGCTCACCACCCCCTCATATGCAAAGCCTGTCTCGTCCCGAAGCTGCAAAAACGTGAGATCCCGAAATAGAAAGGGGCAGAGAGAGAGCTAGTACTCCGAGAGTGGGAGTACTGGGAGAGAGAGAGGAAAAAAAAGGCAATAGAGCAAAAGGGCAGCAAGCGCAAAAGAGCAAAAGCAGCGAAAGAGCCAAAGTGCAAAAGCCCTTCTTTCCAGCTGACCCTCACTTTTATACTGGGCACGACGCTGCATGATATGGAATACTAATTGGCCAGTTTGGCCCTCAATCTTAAGTTGCACTACAAATCACAAGGGGAATCGTGTCCCCCTTGTCCCAACTATGCTCCCCCCTTATCCTGCCGTGCTTCTGCACTCCAGCACACCGAAAAGTCCTTGGAGTTTCACTTCCAACCACAAACATCAACTTGTTATCAGCATTCTTCTCAGAGTGAGCCTCTGAGTAAAACCAAAACACGGAGCTCTTCTAGGTGCTAAAAAGAAGAGCTAACACTGTCCCAGCTAAAACTAGGACACTCTCATTTGTAAGAGAGAAGAATTTTTGACTTGTCAGGCAGAGAAGTCTCAGGACAAATCTTTCTTTACTGTGAGGAAGCAAGAACCTAACATGGAAAGAGACTAAGTAGTAGCCAGTAACACCAGACCTGCAGGAAATGTAGTGCTCCTTACCATCATCACTGAAGACTGGGACAGTGAGCAAGTACTGCAGAATCTTCCTATCCCTTTCAAAAGGACACTCCACTTGCTTCCACGTCATAAATTCACTGACTTCTTTTGCCAATTCCCAAAATTTCTATCAGAATAGAAGAGAAAACATGAGAGTTGCTATATATTGAACAATATTATTTACCCTGAACATTTTCCCATCACATAGCCCAGCTTTAGAACCTGGCTAATTCAGGCCAATGACTACAAGTGAAATTTACTGTAATTTTGCACAAGTCACTCAGGCTTCCTGAAAGCACCAAAAAACAAATCACTGGGTAATTGATGCTGTCAGATAACAAGCATGAAAGTGGAGGCACAAGAACTACTGAAACAGAAGGGACTCAAACCTCCCTCACTGCTGCACTATCATGTGTTTTTTCATAGACAATCTGTGACTTACACGTATGAGAATACTGCGTATGTATCTCGACAAAGGATGAACTCACCTTTTACATGTGGAATTCAAAATAAAGCTCTAAAATACTAATTTTAATGATTTTTCATTAAGTATAATAAACCTGAGTGTTGAAATGTTCAGATGAATTTGAGCAGTAGGAGAAAGTTCTGACTTTTTTCCCCACTAAAAAATTGCAGATATCGAAATGGTTTCTATACACATTCCATCTTCAATAAAACTGCTTTTTCCTGACTACCTCCCAGCTCCTGTGAGAAGTAACAGATACACTCAAATTCTAGTCTAATTTTGCTCTCCCAGAATCCAGTGGATGATGGACCATGATCTGCTTCAGTTTTCTGTTGAAGGGGCTGACCCTGTATCAATATCCCACTCAGCGCTCTACTTACTTGAAAATTGACATGACCATTTGGAAGACGATTGGCACAACCCTCAGTGAGGAAGTAAATATCTTTGATCAAGAGGCTGAAGAAAGGTATTACAATCTAAGGAAAGAACAACGTTATTCTGAGTCTGATCCTGAATCAAAACAAAATGCTCTACAAAGAAAAGGAAGTTAGGTGATACAAAAAGTAAGCAAAATACCAAAGGACTAAGATCTGTCTGATCTCTCTCTCTCACTACACAAAAATTTTACATTCACTACATTTTAAAATACATGATGTTTCTCTATAAAGAAAGCCCTCCCTTGGATGGTAAGCCAATCCCTACGGTTCTATTTCCAGCTTTGTGCCAAATAGCTTCCATTACCTTGAAATCTTCTTGGCATGTAGTTCCCTCAAGGTCACAATTAAAGCACCTGTTGGCACTCCACTGCCTGTCAATTGTGGCTATGAGGCATGTTTAGGACAACCATATGCCTAACTCATTTCATTTCTATGTCATGTCCCTCTTGTTTTCACTTTCTCATTCTTCCTTGCAGCTTCCAGAACATAACAGCTCAGAGGTGCCTGCTTCTACAAGAATAAATAGCTCCAGCAGCTCTCCCTCTTGACAAGGACTTGCTTGGCAAATGAAGGGAGGTGCATGTTTAAAACACAGCATGGAAATTTGGGACTAGCAGCACCAACGGCTTTTGAACTACAACTCCCTGAGCTCTTGCAAGAAATTGAACCTTGGCACTGACTGGCTGAAAATGAAGCATTTCCTGCCAACTGAACAAATAAGTATTTTTCTTTAGAGAATGCTGGAACATTCTTGAAATGATTGTATTTTAATTCGCATCCTACAAAAATTTTCCCAGCCGCACATCCTTGTTGCAACTGTGGTTAAAACAAGTGTCACTTATTATTTCCCTGGAAGACTTCGCTGCACCATTTCAACATCTGTAAGTCCATTCTTTGAAGTCTTAAAACTCACATTTCTCTGAAAAGAAGTAACCATCCTACATTCAAATTTCTGGTACTTAGAACAATATGCAAACAGATCCTTAGGAATCAGAAAAAAAATCTCTGTTTTTAGTTACACATGTATAACAGCAATATAGACCAGCAGACTGTACATGGATTTGCTTCATGCTGCCTGGTAGTTTATTCTATGAGCACCAAGATGAGGTTTATTAAATGCAGCATGAAGCCCTAATATTATAAGCAGTTGATGAAAAATTGCTTCTAAGGAAGGAGCAGCTAGGAAGCTGTTTGCGCCTATCCACAAGAACTACAACTAAGATTCGGCATTAACGTGTGATCAAATCCAGTTTATTTCACAAAAGCTAATTTATTTTAAAGAGTAAAGAAAGATGCCACCTCTACTAATGCATAGTTCACAGCCACTCTTGAATCTGGAAGGTGGATTTTAACCCACTGTATTACACTGTCCTTGTTTCAACTGGGACAGAGTTCGTTTTCTTGGTAATAGCTAGAATAGTGATGTGTTTGGATTTAGTATGGGACTTGTCATGAGAAGAATGTTGGTAGGGCACTGATGTTTATAGTTGGTACTGAGACATCCAGGACTTTTCAGCTTCCCATGTTTTGCTTGTGTGCATGAACACAGCAGGCTACAGGGAACATGGCTGGGACAAAGGGCCCATGGCTTCTAGCTTATGATTCGAACTTAGATTTAGGATTGAGGGCTGAATTGGCCAACGGAACATTCCACATCATGCAACGTCATGATGCCCATGATATAGATGAAGGTTGGCAGGGAAGCTTGAGCCCTCTTGGACTCTCAGAGTTCTGTCTTTCTCTCGTTGTCTTTTTGGGCCTCTCACTCTTCTGGGATTGTAGTTTCAAGACTTATCTGAATTGCTCAGAATACCTTTTCTGAGTAAATTTTAAAGCTTTTCCACCCTAAACCACAAACCACTTAAAACCGAGCACAAGTAGCATCTGTAAGAACAAATTACTGGCAACCTCATTTCAGTTCTTAGCCTTTCCATCTGTATTACTGGTCTGTGAGATAAAGTTCTCTGTCAAAAAAGAAACAAGCTGAGGCAATCTACTTATTTTATTTCAATAATCAAAGCAATCATTTAATGTTTGCAGCTTTCAGTCAGCCCCAAACTGAACTGGCAGCCCTAAAATGGTCATTTTCATTAAGCCACCTGGTTTCCTCAAATACTCTATTTACTTTCTTGGTAGCTTGCAGGTAGTATTTAGACATTCCCAGTAAAGAGGGATTCAGTTTTGAGGCTTTTTACTCATTTTAAAAGCCCACCAGGGACAGAGTTGCTGAGAATTACAATCCCAAGACAAAATCTTAATATCCAACTTAACAAGCACATTTCATTTTTTCCCAGTGCCAAGTTGTTTGTAAACGTACCTTCTCTCTGTTGCTATGAGCTGTCAAGGACCTTTGAGCAGCCCCACGCAAAGCAGTTCGGTAATTCTAAAAATTGCTAGAAGGGTCCATGCTACAAGGCATGAAAAAATGTAAATAATGAGCCAGTGTCATCACCACACACAATTCTTTTCACTTGAGCAACTATTTTAAAAAGCAAGAGGTCTGTTGAACAGCACCACAAATACAGTCTTTTAGAGGACTGCAGTATCTCTTTATCTGTTCATTCGATAAGAAGAGAAACTTATTTTAAAAAATGTTTGCTCAGAACAACAAGGGATCAAGTACAAGTCACGGGCAGGAAAGCAAAGGACTTTCTCTCCACAAAGAAGGCAGTTCAGCTTTAATTCAAAAGCCAAAATCATGACGCTAAGACAACAATTGGTCTTGGCACTAATATTCTGCTCTTCCTATTATGCAGGTTTCTCTGAGCTGATTCAGCTGCAACGGCAAAGTTAAGATCAGACACCTAAAGCTGTTAGTGCCACCACTTCATTGCTCCAAGACTGACTGCTGCGTTTCAATAACTAGGATGACTGCACGGCTCACAAAGCATGTCCTTAACCAGCCTGCATAGTAAGGTTGAATGAAATGGGACTGGAAGGAGCAACTTCCTGAGCTGTGCAGTCACCCTTGACACAAGGAAGGCTGCTTCCCACACAAGGGTGGGAGAAGGAATTGTGAGGTGGCTACAGCCATCCAGTTTTAATCTGTTGTCATAACACAAGTCAAATCTTCTGATAATATTAATAAACATTTCATGCTTATGTCCTGTACAAAACATTACATTTTCTTTATCATAGTAATAAATAACTGGGATTAACCAACCGCCATTTACAGCAGAATAATTAACTTGTTGGTATATGATCTGTTGAGTGCATCACAAACTCACACTGCTGTATCTGCATAATCTTTGACAAAGGTCTCTACTACTTGAAGGGAATTGGCAATCAATTAGTTTAAGACAAATCTCTTTGAAAGGGCAAGGCTTCCTTACAGCTCAATTCAATTTTCAAAGGCAGAACTGCATTAGGTCAATCCACACCATCCCTCTCAAATACATCTCCCTTACAAGAGGTTACCTACATTTTTTATTATTATTTTTTTAAATAATTCATAGGAGGTGGGTTTAGGAATTAAAAAATTCAATTTCCTACTTCTAAATCAAAAAAGCACAAGTCCACTGAACAATTCCTATTACATCTTCTACAATTTCCATTAAGACCACAAACATACTTAATTAAACATGTCACAATGAAGCCAAACTTGCGTTTTGGAGGAGTTAAAAGTAAAATGCTATTAGCAGCCCCATGTCCAAATATTGGCCAAACTTACCTCAAGAACATCAAATTTGGCTGTCTTCGCTTTCGCCCAAATTTTCTTTAACCGAGACGCAGGACTCATGTTCATGCCAGCTTGATGTAAAAGAGAGAAATTGTTGGAGTATTTTTTTAAAAATAAAATCTTTCAAGTAGCTAAGACTGTTACCGAAAATCCGGAATAAGAAACTTATCAACACCAATGGGATGTAGATAAGCAGACACTTCTTTATTGCGGCGCCGGGTGCACGGGGGATATCTCCTCCTAGCGTGCGCCCCTTGCACCGAAATCAAACTTCTTATATAGAGCTGACATATGCAAATCCATTAGGAAATCATACATAAACATACAAATTCCCGAAAATCATTAGCATATTCTCCTCCCATTTCCGATTCTGCGCAATAAAAGTTAGAATCATCGAGAAATGAGTCTGGGGTATAATATGGGTAGGTGGTCTGTGAGTCGGTGGTCGCGATCTCCCCCTGCCGGAAGTACCTTTTGCTTAAGTTCACGGTTTCTGGCA